GTAATTACCTACTAGTAATTGAAAAGAAAATATAAATTTTGTTATCTAATCTGGTTTTTCTTTTAATTTCAACCCCTTGTTATGTGACATCGAGAAATAAGCTATCCTTGTGGAAGGTTCTATGTACCTACTTACACAGGTAAATAAGCGCGTCTATCAATACAACCTACTGTAGCCTTAGTATGAGTTTGAGCTCACGAAAACTATCATAGTTTTCGTAATTGTAAATTATGTTTCTATGTTCATTTTGGTGAATACTAAACAAATATACTTAAAATTAAAGAAGACGCAAATGATTTAATGATATAATTTAAACACTGTTTATTTGTATTGAAACGAAAACAATAAAATTCGTACCCTAAGTACGAGTGCGATCTCACGAAAACTATCACAGTTTTCGTAATTGTAAAACTCGTACTAAGGGTACTGATACTACAATAACTGGTAGGTTATAGACGACGAGCTGGAAGTAGCAGTGGTAAGCGCATTCAGTCTGCGAGCTCAGAAATTAAGCAACTTTTGCAGTGGCTGGTCATAGAAAGAGTGACCAAAATTATTATCTGGAACTCCGCCTAGCTTAATTCGGAAAGCAGGATAGGTCCACTATTTCAGGCCGTACGCAACCGAAGATAATGGTTTCCGAAAAAGAAAAATCCAGATCAAACGTTAGGATTATAGTTGAGAAGGTAGAGCTGTAACCAGTGATTGAATATGAGATCGTATATCTTTGCTAGTATATGACTTTATTTAAGATACCAAGTAGAAGTTACACCGACGATATAGAAGAGTGGGCGCAGGAAAAAGAATGAATTGAGCATTGATCATCATCAGCTTATTATTTTCCCCACTACTGGGGCACCTTCCCAATAGATGGTGTAGGGAAATTGAGCTATAACTCACCACGCGGGATCAGTGCGCATTGGTGGGTGCTAAGGACTGCAGATGCAGCTGGGACCAACGGCTTAACGTGTCTTCCGAAGCACGGAGGAGCTCGAGATAGTAAATATTTGGTCACTTATCCAATGACCGACTGTGCATCACCAGTGGGAACATTAATAGCATAGCTGGGCACCGTTAATCAAATAGTTAACTTCGTTGATCGTTAATCTGTTACTAAAAAAAATACCTTCGTTAAAACGTTACGTTACGAAATAAAAGATTTAACGCAAGTTATCGTTAATCCGTTCACACGTGATAAAAATTGCATTTTTATAGGTATCGTTCCGTTAGTGATCTGCTTACAAATACTGTTGTTTTGGGTTCTGGAAGTTAATAGGATAGGTTCAAAAAAGATTGTGTTTATATTATAAAAAATAAAAGTGGGTTATTTAACCATCTGGCACAATGTGGATATTCCCCTTCATGAACATTAGTATGTTGAAGTTTTCGTCTGAGAGTGAGGATTAATACTGGACGAGCAAATTTTCTTTTTGGTTTACCCCGGTTAGATCCCGCTTAACAATCTCTGCAAATATCAAGTATTGAGACTCATACACTCTTCTTATATGCTGTTCCACACTGTTTAGGCTCGGTAGGTAAGCATTTTACGCACTCAAAAAGTATCTACTCTCCCGATCTAGATACAAACCTAATACCTATTATATTACAGCCACTTAAATGTGGCCACGGATTTTCGTCCGTAGAGGACGTGAACGAATCCATGATATTTATGGTTTTAATTTACACAGTAAGTACTTACACTATTTCCTTACAAATACACACACTGCACAAAAGCAAATAATCAAGGACGGTACACAAATCAAAAAATACGTAGTATTTGCATACTTCACTAAAAACAACCAAAACACTCGTCACTCGTAAGCGTCTCGCTAGTAATGAATTGAAAAGATCACACGTACATAGTTTTGTCGTCGTTTGTCGGCCCGCCCGAACTTACTTATCAGAACGCGTTTTCGCGACACGGCGCGATGACTGCGTTATTTTTGGTAAATAGTATAGTCCAAGAGCCCACTGCGAAATATCTACCCGAATCGGACTTACGGACAAATCGTGTACGATTCGATGGGGAATGTGGTCGTGATAGGGTTGCCGGACATGATAAACCCTGTATCTTGACCGAAGGGTCGAAAAAAGGGCCACTTCCGGTCAATTTTTCGGGAGCCTGCTACCCGGATAAAACTTACAATCAAAATTAGTGCCAATCGATAGGGGATGTTGAGCACTTTAAGGAAAAATCGGGTTGCCACCCCCCACCCTGTCAGGGGTTGCGGCAGCCACCCTTAAGTGTGACCCATTTTCCTATTGCTCTACCCGGATCGAACTTACGATTTTTTTTTTTCCAAATCGAAGGTTGAACTTTCCCCAACACGAAAAAATAGGGTTGCCACTTCTGACCTTGACCAGAACAGCCGTCAGCCAGCCCCGAGTTACCCAATTTCGAGGTTCCAATTTCGATCGCAATTTAACTACCCGCATCGAACTGACGATTTCTTTTTTTTTTAAATCGAAGCTTGAATTTCCCCGAACACAAAAAAACGGGGTTGCCAACTTTGGCCTTGACTGAAAATTTTTCTGCCAGTGAATTATGGCGTCAATATTAATTTATTTTATTTTGGAGCAGATCGAAACGAATCTTGAAAAAACATTAGAAAATCAGATTTTTTTTTTTTTTATTTCATTAAGGAATGAACAATCTTTGGGCAGGTTGGTAGAGGCGTGGATTGAAAAACATGGGTTTGTATGACATGAACAAACAGTTTTATTCATTCATAATTTTACAATTCCAATTACGATAAATATAAAATCATTACAATTAAAACTTAACGGCAAACTCATTCGGAATCGGAGTCGGAACTATGAACCGCAAAATCCTCATTATCATTGCTTCGAGTCGGTTCTATGATTATAATGTCTTCTACTCTCAACGGGGTTGGATCTCCTTGATACCACAGAGGGACAAGTTTATCATGGAGAATCCATCCACATTCTTGAGGGTTGAATTTAATGCAAACTTCATTCGTCGCATTTAGCCACATTGCATTAATGAAGCTTGACCTGAGGATTTTTTGTTTCAAAGTTTTCCAACACGGAGGAATCAGATTTGACTCAAAACCTTTAACTCTTGTCAGAAAGTGGTCGCTATTCATACTCAATCAAAAATCGAACCTTTATAAAAACAAACTGTTTAAAAACATATTGAATTGGTGTGGTAGTTGTGAAATAAATCGTCTCAATCGAAAAGCGAACCTTTAAAAAAACTGTTTTAAAACAAAATGACTTTGTATGGTGGTTGTGAAATAGATCGTCTTAATCGAAAAACGAACCTTTACAAAATAAACTGTTTTTTGAACATATTGACTTTGCGTGGTGGTTGTAAAATAGATCGTTTTAAAATAGACGTTTTCGACAACGTTGTGAGAACGCCGGTAACGTTTCGTTGTGTTATTTAGAAAACGCGTAACGACACATATCTACTTCTATTTCAATAACCCGGCAATTTTTTTTTTTGCTAGACCGAAAACAGATAGATCCCTTCTACCTGGGAATTTTGAAAAGACCCCATAATACATGAGGACGTAGCAGCTGCTGTCGTTACACTGTTGCCACGATCTCAACGCTTCGATCTGCTCCAAAATAAAATAAATTAATATTGACGCCATAATTCACTGGCAGAAAAATTTTCAGTCAAGGCCAAAGTTGGCAACCTCGTTTTTTGTGTTCGGGGAAATTCAAGCTTCGATTTAAAAAAAAAAGAAATCGTCAGTTCGATGCGGGTAGTTAAATTGCGATCGAAATTGGAACCTCGAAATTGGGTAACTCGGGGCTGGCTGACGGCTGTTCTGGTCAAGGTCAGAAGTGGCAACCCTATTTTTTCGTGTTGGGGAAAGTTCAAGCTTCGATTTGGAAAAAAAAAAAATCGTAAGTTCGATCCGGGTAGAGCAATAGGAAAATGGGTCACACTTAAGGGTGGCTGCCGCAACCCCTGACAGGGTGGGGGGTGGCAACCCGATTTTTCCTTAAAGTGCTCAACATCCGCTATCGATTGGCACTAATTTTGATTGTAAGTTTTATCCGGGTAGCAGGCTCCCGAAAAATTGACCGGAAGTGGCCCTTTTTTCGACCCTTCGGTCAAGATACAGGGTTTATCATGTCCGGCAACCCTATCACGACCACATTCCCCATCGAATCGTACACGATTTGTCCGTAAGTCCGATTCGGGTAGATATTTCGCAGTGGGCTCTCCGACTAGTAGATACTGGATTAACGAGTAACGGGCTTAGGATAATTTAACAGAAATTAACGAGTCCGTTAACATTTTTTAAAATTAGAAATTAATTTTAATAGAAATGTTAACTTCGTTAATTTACGAGTTAATGCCCAGCTATGATTAATAGGTTGATGACGATTGGTAACAATGAGCAGCGGAAAATCAATTAGAATTCAGACGATAAGGCATCTATAGTGCAGGCTCCTTAGGCTCAACTCACGAGTCAACGCGTCCCCCATGTTTTCGCCCTGGGAATACCTTAGCAGTAAATTGAGATGACTATTGCTACAGGCCAACAAACGTGAAATCTGGTAGTAAGGAATTGCGCGTCGAATAAGAGGAATATCCTATTTTTAATAGTAGTAGAAGTAGAAATACAGTATTTGAAACAGGCGACACAAGCAGAAAACATGACGCGGCTCCTTACATAGTAATTGTATTGGCGGGTATTCATTCGCTTGCCTGTGAATATGAACTTAATTTGAAAAAGAAACAAATATACGGTTGTCAGTCACTTTATTGTTTGATCTCAGGATTTTATATAATTAGTTAGACATGCGAGCAACATTTTGAACAGATGCCTTACAGAAGTGTCTGATTTGTTATTTACCATACAAACAGTTTACAATTTGTAGGGAATGTTTCAAGTATATTATCAGACCACTTTTCAATAAACTACTAAAAGTATTCTTAAAAACACTATAATCTCCAAGTCATTTTGTACTAACTTAATATCATTAAGCATTAATGGAGGTCTTTAAATCACTGGATGTAAAAAAAATACCTTCAAACAAGTATTTTTAACAGGTTCTAAGGAAGTTAAGATCAGCGTTAGAACTCTAGTGATACAAATAAAATAGGAAATTAAATTATTATTCATTCAGTATTTTATTGTTCATCATGCTATCTTCAAGTTGTGCCTAGGTTTTAGAATTAAATCTCATTTCTTTTTCTTCTTTTGTTTCTGCGAATTATCGGGGGTGTTTTCTGCTTTACGTTTACCAGCGTTAGCTCCTTTACCAGTTGTGTTCCCGCCTGGAGTATTTAGACTGACACTTCCACTCTTTTTCTTCTTCTCAGCACGTTCTTTTTCCTCGAGCTCTTGATTTTCTCTTTCGATTAAAGTTATAAGTGTGTTACAGCTGAAATTAATACATAGACATTTGAATAACGGCTTATTTAGTTCTTATCATGAGTCAGTTTTATTAGAATGTAACTTTTGATATTTACCGGCGCTGTAATTCGACCGCAGTACGTGATTTCAGGAACCAATCAAAACGAAATTGTGGTGCCGCGTGTACCGCCGCGCGTAGTTCCTCATAAACGTTTTCTTTGTCGAATCCCAACTTGTGTAACATGCACACTAAAAATCTAGAAAAAGAAAACAGAACTGTTACTATAAAAAATAAAAATAGTCATATACAGTCATCAAAATTGATGACAATATTACAAACTTGTTTGCTCAATGAGCCTGAAGAATTGTCATGTAGTCTAAAGAAAACAATATGAATTTTGTTTTAGCGCCATTTAAGAGTTAATTTCCCTTATAATCATTGGATGAAAACCACATTCAGTCCTCCCTGTGCCCAATGAAAAACCTTTATTCGTGGATTAGCGTGAAACAAAGTTTTATTTGGAATAAATTATTGATGTAAGTACATTTTTTTTGTTTGTACGCTGTTGGTCCAAGCCGAGAATTAGCGAGTGCCTCTAGAGGTATTCCAGGCGGATGGCATCTCCCTATCCCTCACTCAAACCTGAGGGGGTACATTCAAAACAATGTTGGACCAAAAACACTGCCCTGAGGGACACCTAAGGTTACTGTAAGTTATGTGAGAGTATTAAAAGCAAGAATGTGAAACAGAACTTCGTATCTTCATCCAGAGCTTTTGCCTGGGGTCAGAAAGATGAAATATTTATTGCATTTTGAAGTTCATCCGGTTTTTTCAAAATTAAGAGAATTTTTATAATATTATTGCCTCACTCTGGTTTGATTTCGCACTATTTTTTTTTAATTTGAAGAATATTATTTTATTACGAACTTTAGTTCAAACTGAATTATAAAATCATATTACCTGTCCTCCTCTTCCACATAATTTTTGCCTTTATTTGTACCATAAGAGATTCTTAGCTGATGGAATGGTGCTCTATATCGGGCCATTTTAGCATCTAGGGCTTTCTTTATTGACGCTCTTCTCTGTATTTTAGCTTCTCCCCTTTCAATCTGCCCCATGATCCGGTCGACGTCTTGAAGTTCATGACATCTTTCCCAAAATACAGCTGAATATTCCATTACCTAAAAATATGAGAACCAGTCAGATTTGTCATGATTGTAATAGTTATTATTACACTATGTAATTTACTTTACATACTTCTTCAGGTGTCTTTCCTTCAACGTCTTTTGCGATGTTTTCAATGTCATCTCTTCCATATTTCTCATTTGCTTTGATAAATTGATTAAAATCTCGCTTTGTCCAATTTGTGAAACCTTAAAAAAATGTGACAATGTTAGTTATTTTATAGAGCATCGTAATCGCAAAGCATATTTTATTGTAAATGCTAAACATTGTTTACCTTGTGTTAAAAGCTGTTCCTTTTCTTGTATCTCCTCCTCAGTGAGACCTTCAGCATCATCTATTTTACGTTGCTCTTCTCTTTGTATTTTGGCAGCATCAGGACCTAATTCAGGATTACGTGGCACCTTGTATCTGTCATGAAAATTAATTAGTTTGATGATATCGACAGTGGAAAAACAAAACCGCTTATTACGCCACACTGGTGCTGCTAAAAATTAACTTTTTTCAGTATTTATTCAATATAAATTTTTAAGCAGCACCAAAGTGACATATAAGCAATTTTGCTTTAGCACTGTCGATATGTTATTATAAAACAGAAAAAATCTAAATCAAAAGAAACTAATTACCCTAAAGTCTTCCGGTAATGATATATTTCTTGATCAAGCAGTTCAAAAAGTCGAGGTGGGAAGAACTGGAAATCTTGAACAATTGGCTGCTTGGGAGGTCTTGGAGCCTGATAAAGCAAAAAAGCAATGTTAGTCAATCACCATAACAAAAAACGACACTGGTGTCGATTTTGGCACATTTCTCTAAACCTAAACTTAAATTATGACAACATGTTTCCGAGTCATTCTCTATACAAAATGAAAAGGAGAGACTGATGTTAAATTAAGTTTTAAGATTAGAGAATTACTCTAGGATCGACACCACTAGCTACAAAAACAATATTAATTCTCTAAATACAAAATATTTGCGAAAATGAACATGAAAGTGCGCTACTAATTACATACTATATGAAAGTTTTTTATTAATAAAAAAAAAGGTAAGCTACATTGCACAAAATAGCAGTAACAAATGTTGGATAGCAGTATAAAGAGCTAATAAACGTGTATATGATAATAATAACTACTATTTAAATCACCACCACCACAAAAAAAGTATAGAAAACCTGGCCTGCAGACTTACTGCTTAGCTCTTTACACTTATTTACCTGTACCTTGGGCGCCTTCGGTTCTGAGACACGTAGTGCCTCTCTGAAGTAAGCATCTACTGCGTAATTAGCTTTACGTTCACGTTTAGGTGGTTCTATCCAACTCCCGATAGGTATTATCTTCTGTTTCTCCCTGTAATCCTCACCTAACAACGATAAATTTTCCATTCATATCATAGAAATAGTCGCCTCCTTTCTACAAACTGCCTTGGTGTATTATCACTAGTGGATAAATCCCCAAAAGAAAAATATTTAACTGCTACATTTGAGATGAGTTTTATTTAGTACAACATCATAATAATTGTTTAGAAATGGATATTAAATGAGAAGGACGTAATAAAAAAAGTTAGATAGTTAAAAGTAATTCAGGTAGTAATAAGATATTCAGCCCCCTAGCCATAATATGATATATCGCTCGTTTGTATTACGCTGAAATGTCAAACTATGGAGTTCGACAGTTAGACACGATAAAAACGTAATATACCTAATGTCTATCGTGGGTATCTTGGTACTCATCCTACGGGGACAGGTAGCAATCAGTAATTTACTGCTGGCTACAGAAATTAAAATAACACAACCTTAACAAACGCCTAAAATATGGCTTACACTTACCTACCCTGCCTGCTATGGACTAAGACAAAATCAAAACACCTATTGTATTTCCCACTGGAAGAGGAAGTGCGCTTCCAGATAAATTTAGGGTGACTAGATCTTATAATTAATATATTAATTGAAGCCTCACACTGCCACATTAAATTTAATTTACATAAAAAAGTGTACCTTCAAATTGATACACTGAATCAGTTGTTGCACCAGGGGTATCCATTGAAAATGCTCGTAATGATGACTCTCCCAAACTTTCTAGTTTCTGCTTCAGTTCTTCAGTCTTTATGATAAAAATAAAAAATATATTAGTAAAACAAAAAGTATTGCTTGCATTGAATGTCACCCTTTCATTTCTGCAATTGAAGTTATTAGGAGACATACCTTGGTTTCTCCTTTAGCCAGTATAGTATCTATGTCATCATCTGTGATTTCAGAATCCTTTGATGAAAAGACATGATTAGCGCCATGTCTAATCATATTTAACATTTCATCTTTGTTTAATTGATTTTTGGTATCAACAAGGCGACCAGATTGTATGACTAATTTATCCAAACGAAGTTTTACTTCAGCTCGTTCTACAATCTTTTCTTCAACAGTGTTTTCTGTAATAAGTCTAAAAACCCTTACCTAGGAAACAAAATTAGTCTTTGTTACAATATGTCACATATTTTTTTACATAGAAAGGGCATAATGGGCATATACACATTAAGGATATTGGTTGCTCTTTCCCTACTAATGAAAAAAACCAAGATCCTAATAAGTAAAACTGAAGAAAGCCTCATATAGGAACATATTTATTCTATTATTTTTACTCATAAATCTTTTATAACAATTCATAATGCTTCTCTAAGAGTCAACTTGTAAATAGCAGATCTTATATTTTTTTTAAACAATCTGCTTGTTACTGCATCGACAATTTCTCTATTTAATTTTACTTTTTGACACTTACTTTATACATGTCTTATACTTTTAGATGTTTTGGGTTTCACCCGATAGAGAGGGTACTGTCTTCGAGCGTAAGTGTAACGTATTCATTTCAAATGCGCTCTTGTGCTGCTAGGGTGGCAATAGAAGTATTCTTTGTGCAACTGAATTATTTATCCTACTAATATTATAAACGTGAAACGGATTTGGATAAAATTAAGCACACTAGAATACAATTGAGACATAGGATACTTTATAATGTGAAAAAATTTTAGGTTCCTGAGGGATTCCCAAAATATTTAAGTTAATGCGGATGAAGACGCAGTCCGCTAGTGAATTCTAATCATGAGGCTCAGCCTGCATACAAACTGATGGAAAGCAAAGGCTTAGTAATAGAGTTACATCCTCTTTCACCCTATGAATATGGGCAGAAGTGCAAACCAAAAGTATTGAAAAGCATCTTTAAAATATAAAGAATATTTAAATGTTGTAAAATATTTATAATTTATTGTATAATTTTCTTGAATCTTTAAAATTTTCCTTTTCGGCAAAGTTATTATTTAGAGAAGCGTGCTATAATAATTATATGTAAATACTTGTTTCATTTGTCCAATACGATGTGCTCTGTCCATAGCCTGCAAATCCATCTGTGGGTTCCAATCAGAATCATAAATGATGACAACATCAGCCGAAGTTAAATTAATACCAAGACCACCAGCTCTAGTAGACAACATAAAGACAAATTTTTCACTGCCTTCAGCATTGTACTCTTCGATTTGTCTATTTCTATCTTCATGTGGAGTTTGACCATCGAGACGGCAATACTGTAATAAAAAAAAAATTAACACCGATATACATAAAATACAGACATATAAATTGGAAAACTAATTGTTCCTTACCTTATACTGCCTCCACAGGCAATAATCTTCTAATATATCCAACATTCTTGTCATCTGAGAGAAAATAAGCACTCTGGACTCCTGCTCTTGGAGTTTAGGGAGTAGCTTATCTAAAATAGCTAGCTTTCCGCAATTATAAACTAAATGTTCATCAGTAGTGTAAGGTGGACCAGGTTCAGCACCATCAAACAAATATGGGTGGTTACAACATTTACGCAACTGCATGAGAATATTTTGCAATCGCATTTTCTCCACCTTTCCAGCTCCATTCACTGAAATAAAAAAATATGTATATTTATTTACAGGCATTATTTTTGTTTTTATAATTAATGGCGGTTTTGTATAACTGAATGTTACAAACCTACGTCAATATCCTTCATAAGAACCTTTGTATACCAATCCCTTTGCATTTTACTTAGTCCAACATACACTTTTAGTTCTTTTTTAGGTTTCAATTTCTTTTCTACCTCTGACTTCAGACGTCTTAGTAAAAAAGGTCGCAAGACAGCATGTAAGCGTGACACTAATTGATTGTCACCCAAAGCTGCATTTGTATTAAACCATGAATCAAAATCCTATAAATATAATAATAACATTGTTATAAATACATTTAAAAAACAATCTTTTTTTTCATAAAAGTTAACTTACATCTGAACTATTAAATACATCCGGCAAGAGGAAATTTAAGAGTGCCCAAAGCTCATGGAGATTGTTCTGCAATGGTGTACCAGTGAGAAGCAATCTGTTCATACTCTTGAATTCTCTAAGCAACTCAGAAAGTTTAGATTTTTCATTTTTGATACGGTGAGCTTCATCTATAACCATGTATCTCCAATTAAACTTTTTGAAGACAGATCTTTCTCTAATGATCATTTCATAAGATGTAATACAAACATCCCAGTTCCCAGGCATAAGTGTTTCACGGATGAATGTATTCTGTAAACATATTATTCCTAAATTATTAGTCATAGTAACAATTTTCTCATGCCTTAAAAAAAAAGCCTTAATTATTTTCTTTACTTTTAGCCTTTGAAATCTGTATACAGATATATCTTATTAAAATTAAAAAAAAAATCATTAAATTGTTTAAAAGTCACAGAAAATAAGCAGGATTAAGTTTTTACTTAAATGTCCTGCTAATAATAAATAAGTACATTATATTGAGAAATCAAATAGATCTATAATTTGTTATAGTTACAAATAAATAAAAAGGTTAATATACACCTATAATAATAATAATAAACACCTATATTAACATTTTTATTTAATTGTAACTATAACACAATATACACCTCCACAAAATTATTAAAACATCTGAACTTTCTTACAGAAATAGCGACTCAATCTTGAAATAATCAAATAGTGACTGGATTCCTTTTTTTTGGTCTTAGAAAATCTTTGATACAAACTAGATAGAACAGCAGCAGTACTATTTATGTTGCAGTTGTAAGTAATCAGCAACACATATTTACACTATTTTAAAGTATGAATGTTGTAAAGAGCAAGTGTTTTATATCATATTTCTCAAGCATACCCTTGTTTCCTGGTCACCAATAAGACAAACAGCCTTCAAAGATGGACACCATTTTTTAAACTCATTCATCCAGTTTGTCAAAGTAGACTTTGGTACTATTACAATATGTGGCCCAGGAACATTTCTGTAATAATTTAAAATATTTTTAAATAAAATAATAAACAAACTAACACATCTTTTACAAACATACATACTTGAAGTTCTTCATATATCCCAATAGTGATATAGTTTGAAGTGTTTTGCCTAAACCCATTTCATCTGCCAATATTCCATTAATGCCATTTTCATACAGTGATATCATCCAGTTAAGACCGCGCACTTGATAATCTCTCATTTCACCATTTTTTACATAAGGTGGAGATGATTCAAATCGGAATATGCTTTTTGTTTTTGTGTTGGTTTCCGCAAGAAGTTCCTCATCTTCTTCTTGCTCAGTTTTACGATGTCGATGACTGAAATAATAAAGTAGTGAAAAAATATCATACAGAAAAGTAAATTCTTTGTAATTTGATAAACACTCACTCTCCAGCTCCGCCCGAAGTATCAAGGTCTTTATTTTTTTTAGGTCTTCCGGCTTTTGGCTTTGGAGGACTGCTCGACTTTGGAGTGTTTGTCATAAAATGAGAAAAGATCTCGGTTTGCTTAAGCAGGAACTCGAATCTTTTTGAACGATCTGTCTCAATTTTACTTTCAAAATCTCCTTCTTTGCCTCTAGATGAGGTAGTGTCGCTCGATGAGCCATTCTACAAAGAAAATGTAATTTAATAGGTTTGAAGGAAGCATTGGCAAAATGTGAATACTACAGCAGATTTTTTTTACCGAATTATCACCCACATCAGCAACATCCATAGCTTCTTCAGTTTGAGACATGGTTGGGTAATTAATAATAACTGCTCGGCAATAATAATTATTTTAGTACGCCTGATATCATCACGAATGATAACTGTAACCTGTAAATATTTCACCGGGCGCGAAACTAGATGCTTCCTTTACACTGAAATGGCGATGGCGGCAATATTGCCAACATTAGGAAAGCAAAAAGCAACAAATGGTCAGTATTGCCATGTTGCTAAAAGTAATCTGAAAAATCCGTTAGTAGAAGTGTGTGTACAAATCTTAAACCATATACCAATGGAGATGCCATAACGTTCACTCACTGATCAAAAAGAAGGATGCCCATTTGTGACCTGTCAAATCTGTAAAAAAATTTTGCGTGTATAATTATGTGACATACCTCAAAAAAAAGGTAATTATTCGCTTATTACGAAATCAAAATATCAACAAAAACTACAATCCAGTTTTTTCATAAATAATTTTTGAAAATAACCATTATGTAGGTACATTTTTTGCTATCACACGAACGCATCCATTAGGGAAGAGTATTGTATCAAAGTAAAATGACATAATTATGAACGCAGCTTAAATGTAGATTCGCACTCTCCTTTCCAATGTTGCCAGCCATGCGGTAAATACCGTATTTAAATGGTAATGTAATACTTAAAAGGCATGGCTTTAATTTAAGTTTCTTTCCGTTCTTAACAAAGACTGGCCATTTTCTTAGTGAAACATGACCGAAATAGTTAGGACTCCATCATCTCTTCGGCTGACTACATGTGAAGGAAATTCGTTCCGAAAAAATGCCAGCAATAATGACAGCTGCTCAAAGTACCAATCATCTCAATTAATGGAAGGTATTGTAATTTTATTTTAGATTATTACCTACTTATATACTTGTCTACCAGAGATTTAAATAATACATAGTTAAATGTCTTAGATGTCTATAGATATAATTAGGTAAAGGTCAAGATTATCATTTATTCATTCGCTTGCAGAAACTAAGACATTAAGTACCTACTATTTCAATAAAATAATTGAAACTGAATTATTTAATCAATAAAATATAAAAAAAAATTGTTTAATTCCAAAGACAATATTATAAGGATGACACCTCAGCATGATACATGTTATGATATTAATCCTTTTTTCTTCAATCCTCAGATCAAGCTTCAATCAAACAAAACAAGCGAATTGAAATAAATACCTAGCTGGGCTAAGACACCACAGCTGTGACAGCACACAAATGAATCATCTTATGCTGGCACTTCACTTGGCTATTCATGTAAACTTGACTTCAGTCTGTCCTTTTCTTTCCTTAAAACATGATAAGGACAGACTAATGTCAAGTTTACAAATAGCCAAGTGAAGTTCCGGCATTAGATAATCTATAATCAATCTCGTAACCACAGAGTAAGTAAATGACATCTTCAGCAGTTGAATAACCTCAGAATTAGTTTTCGTTATAACTTCTATTCCTCATTGCCAAATCAAACCAAATTAGCAACATTATTTCAGAAGATTGTAATAATTAGTTAACAACCTCAACAGTCAATATACATCCATAAAGAAAAAACCGAAGTGACAGGTTTTCGAATGTATGGGCAGTGGGCATTGTTCTTTCCGGCACTTTTAATGGAGGATGAGGTACACGCATATAGCACACTAACAAAAATATGCCATATAGAAGTTCCTCCCATTCGCACGAAGCGATTTGCTTCCGCTTTTTATTATGCGAACGGCTAGGGAGTGGAACTCCTTGCGGAGGTCTGTTTTTCCGGACCAATATAATCTGGACATCCTCAAGTCCAGAGTGAACAGGCACCTTTTAGGCAGGCGTGTACCATCCTAGGCCTCATCATCGCTTTCCATTTCCATCAGGCGAGACTGTGGTCAAACGCCTTGCCTATTAAGGATATTTAAAAAAACGCAGAATCAAGAGCGTGTTGTTGCTATAAATAAACGCACACTTCAAATATCACGCAACACCACAGACTTAGAATATATAGGAGCAGACCAAACATTAGTGGTTGAAAAGCACAGCAAAACTAACACACCCAAATACACACACACAGATGTCACGTCTGGTCCCGTCACTTCGCTGCGGTCCGTATTGCGCGATTTTGTACAATTTGCACCCATAGCGCGCATACAACTTGTCCGATATGAACGTATTTGTGCCAACGAAATCCATATGACATCGTCAGTGACACCATCAAGCCGTGCAAACGCTGCTCACGAATCTATGGTAGTGCAGTGTGTGCGCAAAGGACAAACGCAAATTTGACGTTTGAAGTTTTTTGTTGCTAAAAAAATGTGAATACATACTTCACTTTCTTTTTAAAATTTTAGGTTTCTTACTGTTTTAAACTGTATAATGTAAGTATACAAATTGATATTTCTCTCCCTTTATTTCATAAATCTATTTGCCGTAGTATTGTATGACTCTCCTCAAAATTGTTTGTAGATATGATTGTAGGCAGATAATAAAATAAATAATGTCTAGATCACTAAAAGTTTTCGATAAAGAATCGAACAGCAGTGTAAATCTCCTTGTGTCATTTATACACAAATGCGATTTAAGTGCGGTCCGAATTGATTGCGCACAGACATTGTATATAGCACCGTATTCAATTCGGACCTATAATTTTCACTGTTCGTAACGTTGGCAGTTTTTTCGCAATTCGGACCGCAGGGGTATATTTGCAGTTAAATGCACTTTTTGTTTGTTTCAGTAAATTTTGTACCCCTAGCACGAACCAATATCGAATTCGTATCGTTTGCGAGTCCGAAATGTCATTGTCAAATGTGTACTGATATTTAGTTCTCCGTAAGTAGGTACTTTGTGCCGCTGCGTGGTTGATTCCCTGTAAGGATCCCATGCCGCCACCTAAGGCAAGCAGAGCACATCCCGGAGTTTTAGTCGGTAGGACCCCCCCATCCCGAGCTGTCACTGAGCCAGCCCTAGGGTTGGCTGAGTGGGTGGGCGGGAGGTGGGGAGAGGAGTCTCACATAACTCTGTCACCTACTCAGCGGCGGGGTATGCGTAAGGCATTTCGCCGGGTCAAAAAAAAAATAAGTTTTTGGCGGGATTTCATCGAGTGTGGTTGGCGTCTTATTTTAATTAGTCTTAAATTCGTTCATAGTGGATATTGTGAAATAAAATTAGTGTGATTTTGTGTTACAACTGTCTGCGTAACTGAAGAATTAGTAGAATCGTCAAAATATACGCTATTCCGGTCAAGTGGACGTGAGAATTTTATATTGTAGTATAGACTACCTCACAGAAGCTTATCGAAAAAGCCAGCTTGATACATTTTGTGCCAAACACTTTAAGAAACATTAGAATGCGTCACACCGATATTCTAATGTAAAAAGAAAAACAGAATAATTTAACTTAAGGCTGTATGGGCATTGTTCCCCTTGCCTTCCCTGAAAAGGGAGAACTTAACTAAAAATAAAAATAAAATAAAAAAATCCATACAAAATTTGACATTGACATTTCGGTTTGCAAACTAATCGAATTCGTTACTACAAGTCCATCAAAGAGAACGCTACAGAAAGCAGAAAGAAGAAAAAGTCCATCAAATCTATGGGTGCGGCCAGAGTGCACTCAGATTCAGATTCTGAAAACAAGCGCGAGAAATAAACAGACTACACTGTTTATTTCTCGCGATTGTTTTCGAAATCTGAATCTGAATCTGAGTGCACTCTGGCCGCACCCTATTATTAGAAAATTTTCTGTCACATAGTGTGTTTTGGTTAACACGTGTGTATAGAATTTAAACTCTTTTTGTGTTATTCCGCGCCGATTCATTGTTACAACTGTGTTTTATTTGTGCTTCTGTGTATGTTGTAGTACGTGTAAAATAGGTTTGTACTGTCTTGTGTGTGTTTTCTAACAATTAACAATGGATAAAAGCAAGCCTCCGGACCCTCCGGATAAAATGGAAGCTTCCCATATCACCTACGACGACTCTCCCGATCTGAGCACTGAAAGTCCACTGCAGAAATAGCTTATAATCACTCGCGTAAGCGCCATGTTAATGATAATTCGCCTCCGACCGATCGACCCCCGAAGCAAGCTAGGAGCCAGGTGGCCCGTAACAGGTATTCGGCAATGGACAAAGGTCCTTTTATCGTTCATGTGTCCAGGATAGACCCTCAACCCAACTCTGGAACAACCCTACACCACGTCAACCTCGGTCTTTTCCTCCATAAAAATAATGTCAATAACATAATGCGAGATGGGATTAAGAAAGTAGGTAGGAACTGCGTAGCGGTGCAATTCAGGACTCCCCAGGATGCTAATGCGTTCCTGTCCAATACAATTTTAACTTCCCATGGTTTTCAAGCTAACATTCCGTCCTATAACGTAACCCGTATGGGCGTAGTCTCAGGAGTCCCCACAGATATGTCTGAGGAGGAAGTTAAGAAGTACACAGTCGTTCCCTCTCGGTTTGGCCCAAATTAAAAAGGTGCGGCACATTCATAGAAAAGTCGTAAAAGACACTGTTCCAGAATGCAGACCCACGGAAACATACGTACTCACCTTTGACGGACAGACTCTTCCAGAGAAGATATACTGTTTATACACAGCCCTCACTGTAAAACAATACATCTACCCCACTATACAGTGCCGAAATTGTTGCAGATTTGGCCATATAGCCACAGTGTGTAGGTCTAAACCTCGTTGTAGTAAATGCGGCAGTGAACACCCAGGAGATGGTTGCGACTTACCAGAAGAAGAAGCCTTTTGTATATTGTGTTCTGGGAGTCATTACGCAGTTAGTCGTGATTGCCCCGAGCATGGTAGGCAGAAGGCAATTAAGAAAGTTATGGCTGAACAAGTCATATCATATGCTGAAGCAAGTAAAACAGTTCCCATCCCACAAACTACCTCATATGCAAACATCACCAGAGGCAATACCAACTCCTATCGGAAAACAGTTAAGACCGAAAACAAATAGACCACTCTCCCCATCGTATGATAAAACCCTTCATCAGTCCATTACTTTGACCCCACAATCTTCCCAGCCAAATGGTTGTGCATTGAGCTCCCAAAACTCCACTTCTGAACACACAGATACGGCATCCATAATTTCACTCCTCTTAATTATTGTAACTGCTATTATCTCTGGAAATAATTCCAACACCCCATTTCAAACACGGTCCGACGCTGCCAATCATCTCATTTCCTTCTTAGTTA